CCTGCAGGTTACATGAAATGTTACTGGCCATATGATGCTGGGGCCCCATACTGGGACCGCAACTCGGACAACAATTCCTCCTAAATCCTTTAAACTCTGAACCCTAAGAAATTCTGTAAACCATGAACACCCACTGCACCTTAAGCATTGTAAACGTTAAGCTCCCAAACCTTAAGCCCAAATCCCCTAAACCCTATAACCCCTCTAAAGCCTTATTTCTCAGCCCTCCAAACCCCAATCCCCATGACCACTTGACTCCTATACCCTAAACCCTACACCCCATCAACCAAATCGAACCTTCTTTAAGCCAGTTGTTCTTGATGCCTCGCTATAAACCTTATAAGCCCAACAATTCCTGAGTCCGATCCCTTTTCCCTAAAACCCCAACCATACAAAGCCAAGAAATCCTAGACCCCAAATGCTATAAACCCTAAGGGTCCAAGTACCTATAAGCATATACCCACCCGAAACCTGCACTACAATTGCTATGAAGTACTTAATTATTGGGTGCTTGGACCCTCTGGGAAACATCCAAACCCCCAACCGAAGCCAATTCCTATTCCCTAAGGGTCCAAGTACCTAATAATCATATACCTACCCAAAACCAATAGTAGAATTACTATTACCCAAAACCCAAGTACCTAATTCTTGGGTACATGGACCCTAAACCCTAAACCCTATATATCCCTATATACCTCCCTTTAAAGGGACCTAACTATTGGGTACATGGACCCTAAACCCTAAACCCTAAACCCTATATATCCCTATATATCCCTATATACCTCCCTTTAAAGGGACCTAATTATTAGGTACATGGACCCTCTGGGTTTTCGGACCTTGGAAGGCAGCTCCAAGCAGGAGGACTATGCTGCCAAGCCGAAGGCCGAAGCGAAGAAGGAAAAGAAGGCAGGGTTTAGGGTTTAGGGTTTAGGGTTTAGGGGTACCTAAACCCCAAAAATTATGTGAAATAATGGCCTTTGGGGCTATATTTAGGGGTTTTGGGCCACTATTTTACCGGCTTAAGGGGGGCTTACCTACCTAAACCCCAAAAGTATGCAAAATGATCGCCCTCAACCCCTAATAATAGCCATAAAGGCCATTATTTTACCTACTTTTGGGGTCCGGGTAGATTGAAGGTGTTTGGGGGTTTGGGGTTTACTGTAGGGTTTTGGGGAGTTCAGGGGTTGAGGATTTAGGGTGTAATGTACGACGAAATTGGGCTCTAGGGCTTTGGTTTAGGTAAGGTTTTTTAGGGTAGGGCCCAGAACCCTGAACCCCGGACTTTTCAAAGCAGAGGCCCTTGGTGCCCTGTAAAGGAGATACGGGGATATGTCGGTTTTGGAGATTACGATTCATGATGTAACGACTTGCAGGATAATTTGGGTACATTGGGACAGTACAGCGATCATAGGGATCCCGATCCTAAGGATTCTGTAATGGTGGTTTTGAGAACCGCCTATATCATCATGCCTTAGTGCTAAGCCCCGAACCGCAAACCCTAAACCTCGCAAATCGCAAGCCCTCAGCAGTAAAGCCCCATTCCAGTCTGCAGTGGGTTCCGTTCTCTTTCTGTTGCACTCAGCGGTTCTTAGTACGTGAGCTCGGGGCGCTGGAGCATTCTCTAGTTTTCTTTAAATGAGGTTTCCAGCTTACCTGCTTGGCAGATCTCTGCGGGGCTTGCTCACCTGTAGGTTTTGCCTGGCCCTGCGTGGCGTAAACCATAAGCGGATATGTTCAATGCAGCCTTCTCGAAACGCTGGTTCCAAAGGGCTCGTCTCTCAAGTGTCGCCCATGAGATGTTGGACGTTCCACGGATGAAAAGTCCAAAGAGCTCTCTCTCTCTCTCTCTCCTTCTCCCTTGCCGCAAGGGTCTTGTAGAGTGTGCACAACTGTTCTTGGCCTGGATGTGTCAAGTCATGTTTGTCTCCATGCCCTTGCAGCCCCACGTCTGCTTGTAAAGGCTTGCACACAGTCTGCGCAGACAGTGGTCCGCAAAGATCTCCTTGCCTTGAGGCAGAAGTGTTGGCCAAGTTTCCTTGAAGCCAACCAGAGGTTTCCATGTTGCAGGGCATGTATGAAGACGCTTAACTTCAGTTTGATGTTATATGTTGGTTGTTGTTATTCAGGTCCTTGTTGCTGTTATTCCGTATCACTGCGAAATGACATGCTCGCCAGGCAAATCAAAATAATTCCTTGCTTTCTCAATTCGGTCAACCCTACGGTCTGTGTAATTTCCAACCCCCCAAATGCTTCAAACCCTTAGACCCTAACCCTAAGGGACCAAGTACCCAATAATCATACACTTACCCAAAACCTATACTATAATTATTAATTATAACCCAAAGCCCAGGTACCTAAACATTGGGTACTTGGACCCTCTGGGTAAGCCAAAACACGTATACCTCAAATCCTGCACCGCTTAACTGCGCAACCCTAGGCCTCAGGGTGTAAATACTTGAAAGTCATATGGGCTATAGTCTAAACTCCTAAGAGGAGGTTATATAAAGGATAATATGGGGGAGTAGTATAGGGGTTATTAAGGGGGATACTAGGAGTTTAGACTATAGTTCATATACTTCAGGAACCTGTACAAGAACTCCGCCTACCAAAGATTATAAGTATTCAACCATTGAGTGCTTGGACCTTCGGGTTGTAATAGTTCTTTAGAAAGCCTGTTGCAACAAGCCCTTTGACCCATGATAACCCCTTATCGGGTGTTCCAGGGTTAGGATTGAGGGTATAAACCCTAGCCCTAAAACTTTGAGCCCTAAACCCTATAAACCTTAAACCTTAACCCTAAACCCTAAACACTAAACATTCATCTAAAACTTACGGCGAACAATCAGACCTCCTGGCTGCTGCGCAGGGCCACAAAGAAGAGAATTCAGGCGGGCGTTCTTTGTGTTTTAACCTGTCGGTCGTTGTAGGGGTCCCTGAAAATAATTATGTAGTGATGTCATAAGCATATTACATAGTAATAATCTGCAGTTTAGAGCTTCCAAAAATTCAGGGTCCATCTAGAAAGGCACCAGAAATATGTTAGAGTAGTTTGAGGTCCACATCATGTGGACCTACGATCCAACTTCCAGGTTACCTGTAGCGAATGTTGAATATCCCAAAGGGTCCATGTAGCTATATGGTTTATACCCAGGGCCCGAAAAGGTTCCCATAAAACTACTTTAGGACCCAAGTATATACTGTACAGGTACATGGACCCTTTGGGTATGTGGGTGGGTCTTCTTTGTGCATCTAGAAGCCAGCTACTCTTCCCTGCACATTCTGGATTTATCGTAGGCATAACTGTCAAACAGTTGATGGACAGATACTGAAGCTCTTAGGGAAATCAAGCTACTGCGGCTGTTAGATCTCTATTGTTGTCACAGATTTCCTCAAGTGACTGGACGACCAGCGATGAGCACTCATTTGAGCTTCTTGAAAGGGGTTATATAGGGGATTAGCGGAGACTATCGGATATTAAGATATTAAGGGGGATACTAGGAGCATGGACTATGGCTTAGATGATGTTGCTGCAGTGACAGCCGCCAAGATCTGAAAAAGCCTCCGCCTCATGTGTCCCCGCGTCATTCCAGTCGTTGGGCAACCAGCCTCTACCACTTAGCTCCAGGAAGAGCACAAAGAAGCCCTACCTGTGACCCCAATTACCTACAGTTTTATGGGTTATACCTACTAATTAAGGGGTAATTACTGTTAACCTGTAGGTAATTGGGGCTGTGGGTACTTCCTGAGCCCATAATACTCTCTTAAAATACATGCCTGCTTTCTTGAAGCGCCGTACGTAAACCCCAAGACTAGCTGTAACCCCAATTGCGTACAGCTTGGTAGTAATTACTCCTAGATTAAGAGCTATAGTATAATCCACAACACTTTATGAGAAGTTGCAGTACCTAATAATCAAGTACATGCATCCCATATGAACCCTAACCTCTAAAACGCTAGATATCTTTATACATTCCTACCTGTGTATCCTTTTCAAGCAGCCCTTAGTATTCTTAAACTGTAAACCCTAAACCCACCTGCAGGCTTTCAGCAGAACATGAGCTTTCTGCAGAAAGTCAACCTCTTCAAGCGTCTTCCCAAGGATGACGTAGTGTAGGGTCTTGGCTTTAGGACCTTTAAGATTCAGGGGGATGAATAAGAGTAATAATGGAAAATCACATGGAAACTACTGCATGATGTTGAGGGTGTAGTGTTAGGGTTTATAACCCTAAACCCTAAACCCTACAGGGCTTGGGGGTTTGCAGTTTGGGAATTAGGCTTTGGGCTTCAGACCTGAGAGCTTGGGATTCCCGATATGGGGAGAGGAGCTGAGTAGCTTACACAATACTAAGGTTTAGGGTGTAGGGTCTAGGGTGTCGGGTTCAGGGTTTAGGGAGTAATAAGGGGTAGGGTTTAGTGTTTAAGGAGTTTCATGAGACCCTTGCTTCAGCCACCTTACATCTAATCAGCTGTCATGGGCGTCTGGATTGTTCTTCCGTTCGTGCTTAGCTGTACTTGCCGCTGTAGTGAGCTGGTTATGGAAATCCATATTAGGCTGCATTCAAGCGTACCCCAAACCCTAAAGACTCAGACCTTAGAGCCTCGAGCAAGGTTATTGAAAGCAGACCTTACCTTTCGTCATCACTTATTTCAAGGCTTTAGTTTGGACTTCAAGCTTTCAAGCAACGGGGCCCCAACCACGAATAGCGACCACAAGGGATAATAGCAATTGTACCAGGGCCTTAAACCGGCAAGCACTATATGCAATTGCACCGCTATTTTGTGCTTGGTGGGAGCGCTTAGGGTTGCATTTGGGTCCAGGAATGGGGGGCTCTTTTGTCCGGTCAGAGTGTTCTTGATGCTTGAATGGGGAGTTCTCGATCTCAGGCGAAAGAATTTGCCGTTTTATGCACCATGTTTCGTTGATTCTTACCTGCTTCTAGGCAGATATGTCGACCGCCTGTGTTTGTTGAGAGGCTACCGTGCCGGCAAGCGGATGCCTCATGAATCTAATGGAACCCTGTCTTTGCAACGCCCTGTTTTTTTGGCCTTTAGTGGGGGAAGTCGCCTTGCCAGAGCAAGTCTTCGTATCACTAATGCAGAACGCTGCTGCGGCTGCTCCTGCTCCTGCTCCTCCTGCTCCTGCTGCTCCTCCTGCTCCTGCTGCTGCTGCTGCTGCTGCTGCTGCTGCTGCTGCTGCTGCTTTGGCCATTAGGCCAACAATGACTATGAGAATTCTTTGTTCAAGTACCTGCTATGCACCAGCGCCGCTGGTGCCATCAGAAGGAAGAGCTGCAACCAGTATGCACTCCATGCGTCTTTCTATTGTTTTTGTCATCGCTGGTTCGAGGACCAGCATCCCTTGTTGGCTTCCAACGTGATACCGACGAACTACAAAGCTGGACAGGCCAGGCAGTCTTTTCTAGACTTGGGATTGAGACGACAAGTCAGGTTACATTGCTAGACACCCTGGGATTTGAAACTACTGGAGTAAAATACATTATAATTACTGGCGTCCTGGCATAGATTTCCAGTTCAGCTGCGCTTAAACCGGCCATACTGGGATCGCAAAGGACCATGCGTCACCTGCTTCCTCGCAGGTTTACGGATGGATAATGGAAGGAGCGCAAGCAGTAATCCTCGCCTAACATTGGCGTTCTTAAAGGATCCGGGAACAGGGTACGCGTCGGTGTCCATGTGTTGTTGCAGCACAGGTGTCTTGGATTCAACAAGGAATTAGGAACTAATTCCCTAAACCCTGAACCTAAAAACCTGAATTCTAAACCCTACACCCTAATGAGCTGGCCATTGTGGTTTCGGTACATGGTTCCCATTTTCGAGGCATAGAGCTCAAGAACCCAAAGCTGCTAGCTTTAGACCTGGGGTTCTGGAAAATCCTGAGGGTCCAGCTACACAATAGTGAGCTATTGGGAGATGTAGGGCTTCAAAGGGTCTAGAGGGTTTAGGGTTTAGGGTTTAGGGATTTTGGGTACTGGATGGTACCCCTAATTAGAGGGTTTAGGGTTTAGGGATTTTGGGCCTTGAATGGTACCCCAAGAAACATGTGTTTCTCCAAGACTTGCTTTGCGAATTGTATTACCCAAATCCCAAATTCATATTGGACATGCTACTCTCCAAATCCCAAGTCTTCAATGCAAGCGCTGCGCACTTTGACCCTTCATTGTGGTTTCCATTCCCCACATAATCCCTGTGAATTCTTCATAATACAGTAGCATCCATTTTCCAGCATTTCTTAAATAACCGTATATTCCCTTGTAATACCGAAGTATCCATAGAGGAAACCTTAGAGCCAAGACTGCTGCAGGTCGTGATTGCGCAAGGTGATCCAGGACTCTTTCCTTCCACTGGTATGGAAGTAAACTGAGCCCCGAAGTAGCAACATGCACTCCCAAAAACCCCAAACGGGAGCCCGACAGAGCCTACCGTCCTTCTAAACCATGATTTATTGGGCCTAGGGGAAGGTTCGAACTTCCAACCAATGGGCAAGACACACTATTTTGGCAAAGACTTGCGGTGATAGAGTCCGAGGAGTCTGTGTGACACCAACACACTTTGTGTTACATTTTCTTTGGTTTAGGGCTTAGGGTATAGGGTGAAAAGGTGAAGAATATTCACTCATGCAGCTCTTTCGAGGCCACCTGGAGCTGGTACAAGGACATTTTTAAGGTTTAGGGTTTGGGGGCTCATGGGAAGAAAACTCATTTAGGAGGCCCATGTAAGTAGTACTCCTATACTTGCTTAAGCCCACAAGGCATAGACCGCGCATCCAGAAACCCTAATCCTAATCCATGCATGTAGGCGGCTGAACCTTAGGCCTTAAGTGTAGTCGAGTAGCGACTACACAGTCCGAAAGTTTTGCAGGTTTTGTTTTGGTACCCACCTTATGCGAAGGTTGACAGGAGTCATTGGAAGTGGGTTTATAAAAGCGACAAAATCTGGTGTTATAACATACAGGAATGTACAAGCCAACTTATCACGCATCACTACCCTTAAACTTCAAGTAAGTATGTCTCCAGTTCAGGAGTTCGCCTTGTACGGTATACAGTCCGTAGGAATGAACAGTGATGCCGATACTGAAAATGTAGCCACTTCGCCTTGGAAACCCTAATCAGCAATCCGCCAAGCCGCACGAATTTATGTGTTCTTCTTCTTCTTCTGGCAGGGCTCTCATTACAACACGTTGCCGTACTCAGGGTACCCCCAGAACAAGGTCAGGCTTTTGACAGCCACCTGCGTAACCTGTATATACAACCCCTTTCAGGAACCGCCCCAAAGCTGCACCCCCAAGTGGTCTTCCCTAAGCCCTAAACCCTTGACCCTAATCAGCCCTAACCCCTAATCCCTACAGCATAAACCCTATTTGTCTTCACAAGCTGCTACTACAGGATCTGAGTTCTTTGTCATCAAGTCTGGGACTGCTACCGTCTCCATTGCCCAGGACACAGGTATGGGGTTCAGGGTTTAGGTTTTCAGGTGGGTTTAGGGTTCAGGCTTGAGGGTTCAGGAATTGAGGTTTGAGGGTTTAGGGTAGGCTTTCGGGTTCAGGGTCTTGTTTTGGACCTGGGTCGAGGGTTTATGCAGCATTCCGCGACACCCAGAAACTTGAAGTGCAACAAACACCACACCGTGCTAGCCAAATGGGCTTACAACGTAGACCCCTTATTGATGAACCCCCTCCCCTCAATAGAGATTATAATAGCGATCCTAATATTAAGCCCCCTAAAAGGAGGGGGGTTATTAATCACATTAATAAGGGTTATAATAGGAATCCTAATATTAAAGGCCCTGAAAGGGAGGGGGGTTATTCATCACGGGTCTACATTAAACATGACGTCCTTCGGCTTGCTTGTCCTCCGCCTTCAGTTTGCCCGCTGTGGCCATAGGGTAATGGGGAACCCAGAACTCCCCATATCCCTTAATTCGGGAGTATACCTTAAACCACATTAAGGATCTTAGTGTCATTTAGGGCATGTTCCCTAGCTGGTTTTCTAGGAATATCAATTCTTTGGGGTAGGGGCATTATGGTGAGGAGAGGGCATTCTGCAAAGTCTGCAGCCGTGTGCAATACTCAGACTCTTGAAAGGTTAATATGCTTCAGACACCCTTAGCCTCTAACCCTAAACCGCAGATCCTAATCCTACAGACCCCGAACTTTAACCCTAGACCACCACCCCTAAGCCCTAGACCCTAAACCTTGGAATCCTAGGCAAATTGGCAAGCCCTGGACAGTCTTAGAAACCTCCACGTGGGTGTAGCGGAGTGATTATGATCCACATGGGGTTCAGGGGCTCAGGGTTGAGG